TCAATTTTTGTATTTTTACCTATGCTGTTTGCCCTTCTGTAGGCTTTTTGATGGACATAAAGAGCTTTAACTTTTTTCAGGATACAAATTTTTGCATTTTGTTTTTGGCTATTTCTAGGTTAGATCAATACCTTCAAAATGATGTATAATACTTGTATAAAAATTCATCATAGCTGCTTCTGGAGTAAATTGAATGTGACCGACTCAAGCTAAACTTCAACAAAATAGCCAAAAACCAAAATTTATCAAACAAAAATATTTTAAACTGACTTATTTTGCTTAAAATCTGTATAAATATGAAATATCAACCGATAAGCATCCAAGAAACAGTGTAATACTTGGGAATTTTAGACCCAATAAGGACTACTAGGATCGTACTTAAACAAGCTACCTGAGATAGCCAAAAGTTTATAAAATACAATTTTTTGAGTGTTTTTAGTCATAATTATCATAAATCGTCATAAAAAACCAAAATTCAATACTTAATTTTGTTTCTAAGTGGTATTTCTAGAAATGACGTTTTTGAGATTTTTTATAGTTAAGGGTCGCTCACAAACAAGCCTCATATTCATGACCAAGATCAAAGTCAACTATCAAGTATTATACATCATTAGAAAGGTACTGACTTAAGCTACAATAAACTGAAAATAAAATTCAAAAATATTTAAGTTTCTAAGAGTACTAGTGGTTTGAGTTATGGAAAAAACATACAAGTCGTCAGATATCAAAAGTACCCTATAAATCGACAAATTTAGAACTTTTTGAAAAAATTTCTTCACAGGTTGTCTTTAAATATTGTTTGTCATTGAAAAATACCAAAAAACTTATTTGTAGTTATTGTTTTGTTTTATTTTTAAGAAATTTTCGTTTTTGGCAAAATATTTGTCGATTTACTCAAATCAACTTTTCTCACAACGGTGCAAACATTATTTTAATGTTTATACAGTTATGAAAACTAGAAGTCAGTGGCTATTTAATGATGTGGTTTTCGACTGGTATAGCTGTTGACAGAAAAAAGTTGTGCCTGCACAAATATTTTTCCTAGGATTTTTATACGCTTTCAACTACACCGGTACCAAAACATCAAATTTGTAAACTTTGATATACATTAAAAGAAAGTTCTTATATTACACTTTTAGGAACTGAAAACTTTTTTTTAATATCTCTAACCATTGTGGAGATTTACCAGTTCTAACGTGACATGAAAAAACCAGATTTTTCACCCTTTTTCAACTTCAAACAGCCACAGATTCGCAAAAATAGCACCAAATGACCTGAAATTTGACATAGAAGTCTATTTTTATATCCTCTACAAGAAAAAATTCACTTGAGAACGTAATTTGAAACATTGCCTTTTTCGAAGTGAAAGTCCCTTTTTTTTCAATTTTGCCCCATAGTGTGGCGGTAGTCTGGATAGAACATACTAAAATCTACAAATTAATGAAATAAAATTTGGGAGCCGGACAGTGGATCATTATCAAGAATATAGCAAAAAATATGCAAATTTTTGACTTCAAAGTTAATTTACACTACTCAAACTATATAAAATCTGTAGATTATGTATGTAATGTTTGTAGATATAAATGAGATCTACAATATACTTCAATCAAAAAAAAATTTAGAAAGCCTTATATAGTCATGAGGTCCAAAAAATGACAAAAAACCTAGTTTTTTCGAATTTTTTTCAACTTTTAGGAACCAATATACATCAAGAGTATATCATGTGGATATTCATAAGAAAGCTCTACCTTGTACCTATCAAATAAAAAATATTTGAAGACAAACGGATTAAGCTTTCTCGATTTCTCGGTCTCGACAAATTCTCGAGACCGAGACCGAGACCGAGACTTCCCGGGAATTCCCGGGAAGTCTCGACTTTAAAAACTACTTAAAATTTCGCTGAAAGTAATTAAAAAACACTTAGAACATGTAGATTACGTCTATTTGTTATTGTACTTCTGGATATATTCCTTGTTATGCGATCAGTCAAACTAATTTTATTGTCTTAATACTATTATAAAATATAAAAGAAATACGAAATACGTAATGATAAAAGAAAAGCATAATGATAAGAAAGTGTGTCCCTATTAAAACTATTCTGGGTTTTGGAAATGACTTTTCACAAAAACTATAGCATTTAAGTTTTTGTTAAGCAATCGCTTCCTTTGCTTGGTCAAAACATTATTGCTGATTGAAAAATTACGTTCACTCTGGGTAGATGTTGGTTGAATGCTTAGCAGTGCATTATACAGCAGATTTAATTTTTAGTGATATTAAACCATTAGGAAGCTCAATAATTTGCACCCGAAAAATCCCATACAAAAAGAGAAAAAATCCCATACCTTCGAAGAGATTGAAGCAAATGAAAATTTCATGTGTGAAAATGCGCAAATTTCAAGGTCATTTACCCTAACTGTAAGATCAACTACAAACTGTGATGGGAAAAATTCTAAAATTATCATTTTTACTTAAATTTTTTTCTTCTCTAGTCTCGGGTCTCGGTCTCGGAAAATTCTCGAGACCGAGACGAGATCGAGACCGAGACTTCCCGGGAAGTCTCGGTCTCGATTTCGTCATCGGGAAAGCATAAAACGGATAAGGTGAAGCACAAAGGCATTTTAAAAATTATATGAAGTACAAAAATTCAAACCTTCTTTTCTCGTGGACCAGGCACTTTCAGGTGAAAAAATTATTTTTCCCATAAACTAGGGATTAATGTCTACAACATAAGCATATAAGCTGAATTTTTGACAAACTTTTCACTTTTTCGATCAACGTGAGCTGTATTGTTTTTGGGCAAAGTAAGAACAGCCGTTGCTTCAAAAAAAGCAAAAAACCTTAAGAATTTTTAAAAATAAAAGTTTACTGTGATTTTTATAAAATTAAACTTTGGATGAAATTTTTTTAAAAAACCTTTAAAGGAATATTCGTCAAGCTAAATACCTTCAAACATCTGCTGTGGGAATCTAACATGACCTATGCAAGCTTTAAACCTTCAAACTTATGCTAAGCGAAGCTCAGCTGGCTCGTCAAGCTTTATACTTTCAAACATATGCTGAGCTTGGTCTATCTCCAAGACTTTTGATGATACGGTGTGAATATATCCGCATTGGATTTCTACCCGATAAACTAGTTTTTTTCAGATTTTTATTTTATTATTTCAATTCATCTAAGTAAATCTCACAAATAATGTAGGAATATCCTTGAATGTAATGCAATTTATTCTTGTGTCCAAAATATGTTTATTTAATATGAATCTTTCTATTAGATTTTTATTTTCTGAAATTTCAGCAGCATTTTTTTTAAATTTTCTGTAAAAAATATATTCAAAAACTTTCCATTGTTTCATACTTTGCGGTTGTGACAATATTTCATCATTATTTTATTTTTATATTTTATCCTACTTTCCTTAATTTAAAAAAAAAAAACATTGCCATAAGAAGCTTTTATCAAAAGAAGAAAAAAGAGAGGAAAATTTATTAAAAAAGTTATCAATTTTTAAAAAGATTTTTGAAATCATTCTTTAACTCTTATTATATCTTTATATAAAATTCCTACAAATTCCAAAAAAAGTTTTATTTGTAATTTTACAACATTTTTGTTTCAAATTTTTAATAGTTTAGAATTTAGAAAAAAATTGTTTTTTATGGCCGAATTTTACCACGTTTTTCTTAACTTGTTTTCTTATCTGTTTATCTGTTTCTCGAGGTCAAATCTTGCGATCAATTTTTCGAACACTGTATGGTTATGACTTTAGTATGAAACTTTCAAATCAATCTCAATTTTTCAAACCAATAACCTTTGAACCCAATAAAAAGTTATTTTCTACTTTTCAGTCCACGGGTAAAAACGTGGTTTTTTATAAAGTATTTTTTCACATCTTGTTAATAGTAAATTAATGAGTAAAACAAAAATACGCTTTACTTTCTACACTTAAATATAATTTATTCGTCAATATATTTCGATAGCAATGCTATCATTATCAAGACTTAATTGTTACTCTTCGAAATATATTGACGAATAAATTATATTTAAGTGTAGAAAGTAAAGCGTATTTTTGTTTTACTCATTAATTTAGTGTTCTTTCTACAAATTTCCGACATAATTCTTCGATTGTTAATAGTATTTAATCACATTTTTTTTATACCTTATCGGTCCAAATTTTCAACTCAATTCGTAATGACCAGTTTACTTTAAATATGTGAAAAAATTAATTGCTGTGCTTTAATCTTGCAAACAAAAATAAAGAGACCCATTTGTGAGAAATTCGCAAAGTTTAAATTCAGAAAAATACTATGTACATTAAATTTTCCTTGACGAAACAATCAATTCTTTAAATAGTTCGAATTTTATTAAAAAAGAAATTAAAACTTTTTAAGCAATCAAATTTATCTTCAAGATCATATTTCCAGTTTTCAATATACATTTTTATAAATTGTTATTTGTTCATATTCGTAAGTCAATTACTGAATTTTGGATTGCTAAAGTATCAACGTTTTATTTTACATCATTTTTAAACACTCTTATGTTGTTATCTTTGATTATTTCTTTTTTTTTTCAAGTTAATAAAGAAAAATATGAATTTGTCAAGAATACGCATCTTAAACTAATTTCTTAGATAATATTTTCTCATATACAAAATTAAAATAAAATCGATCATTGAGTTTTTTTTTCATTAAATTAATCGTTTTCTTAGTTTCAACTATAAAGTGCCTTAAAGGCTTAAATATTTTGAGAAAAAATGACAAATAAAAATCAGGGTTACTTTAAGAAAGTTTAACATTCATTTCATTTCCAATAAATTAAAGTTTTTTTGAAATGGCAAAGGAGATTTTTTAACTTTGTTTTTTTTTAATTATTCCACATTAATCTTTATTTCTAAAAACCCAGAATTTTTCAAATTGTTTATGAACTAATTTTATTTTATGGATATGGTAATAAAACGACTTTGATTGACATAAAAGATAATAACTAAAATAATAAACTTTAATCTACCTGTAATGCAATGTTAAAAGAAAGTGTTACAAACAATTTTTTAACAAGCTAACAGCGAATTGAATTACATAAAGGAAATCTGAAGAAATTACTAAATTTGTTACAGAAAAAGGGATTGGAAGAGATAAAATAATTGAGAAACATTCCTTTTTTTCTTTTTGTTGCAATAATAATTTTAAATTGATAAATCATATAAATTACTAAATAAGCAAATTGGGGAGGTTTTTGTTGGTTGATTCATTAGTTACTTTGTAAATTGCAGCGTATTTCCTCGTTCAACCCCTTCTATTTGATTTACAAAATACGTGTTAGCTGAGTAGCTTTGTTAATGCTTATTAATTTTATTAATTTTTTTCAGCATTTTGTGAGAAGTTGAAATAAATTGATTTTGATTTTCGTTCCAATGGACATGTGAAAATACCCAATTGTTAGAAGAAACCATGCTAATATTTACTTAAATCATATTACTTTTTATGAAACTGAACTACACTGTAATGGTACTTGCATTTGAAGTAAAACACGATCGAGCCATTGCAAAGGCCCATTTAAATGTAATTCGATCCAACAAGGTGTTGATGTTACAGTTTGCCTCCTAATACAAGCAACAATTTCATGTTTTTAAATCTTGAGTTTTATCGAAACTTTTTCTTACCTATATTCAGCACCCCAACCTTTCACGAAACTCATTCTTATGGTGCACATTCTGGTTAATTGATAAACTGCTTCAAATCCTTGCGAAACTGACTGAGATAAAAGTGCAGCAAACTCTTGGTTATTAAATATTTTAAGGTTGCATCCTAAATTAAAAGTAAATTTTTAAAAAAATTAAAACTACTTAAGTTTGAATTTCTTAGTTTTATAAAAAAAAAACAACCTGGTGGAATTTTACAAACAGTTGCAGGATGCCATCCATAACGTTGATTACAGTTCGGACTCTGTACAAAAATGCTTGAATCACTAAGACATTCAGCAAATACTTCACCTCCTATATAGTATAGCCGTACGCCTTTCCCAATATGTCGACGAGTTTGCTCTACAACTTCATTACGATTCACATTTGATAGTAAACCAAGACAGAAACGTTCTGAATTTGATGGATCAGTAAATCCGTCTACTGTAATTGAAGGTTGAGATGCATGAAATGTTTCTCCAACACGCAAGTTAAGCTCATAGTAACTTATAGAACACCAAAATGTTGGATCTTGATACATTACAGGTGCAGCATCAAGGGATTGAGATGGTGATAAATGAGAGAATGAATCTGAGTTAAAAAATAAAAATAAAATGATTAGAATGTACAAATATCATGCGAAAATATAAGGCTAAGAATAATATTAATCTTTATGAAGGATGATTATTAAATATAAAGATACTTTAAAATAAGCTTGATCACCAACAATAAACTCACTCAAATTGTCGTTTTGATCCATTGGATCACCATCTTCAGACATATAGCCTTTAAAGATAAAGATATGTTATTAATTTAAGGCAATAATAATAAATAGAAGCATTTATTAATTATATACCTGGCGGAGGCGTTTCTGTTGATATTCCAACACTGCTAATACTAGCAGTATCAATTACTGATGTGTTATTTGGTATCTGAGTCATCGTTGCATCCATCACTGAATAATTTGCAATTGTTGAGTTTTGAAGACTATTTAGTAACAATAAAAAAAATTTTTATACTTTTGTATTATTCCTTTTACAAAAATTACAAGATGTTTAAATTTTTGAGCCAAAAATTTTTCATTAACATTTTTAGAAAGTTTAGTTTTAAAAGCTTACCTTAACGCATTATATTGAATATTTAAAGGAACTGTATTGCTCAAGTCATCGATATACGCTGAAACTTCTGACGCTGTTGGATATTTTGGAACCAAAATCGATAGTTGTTGGTTTTGAGGTGATTGTGGTTGTAAGAATTCTCTTTCAGCTTTAATATAATGATAAGGATTTATACAAACTTCTTCCTTCTTCAAATGATACGCGAATTCACAATGACTTAAATAGTTTAAATCATTATGTGACTAAAATAGAATAAAATTAGTTGATTAAAAAGGCATAATAAAAACTTTTTGCTTTTAAACTTACAGACAGATCAGGCCAGCGCCAAAGTCGACAATAAATAACATGCGGTAGACCCTGTGAGTTTTTCTTAGCGTCTGGTCGAGCTCTGTAAATAAGTATGAAATTAATGAACTTCTTTGTTTAATTTTTTTTTTGCAAAAAAACAATAAAACATAAGAACGATAAGTTCTTTATAATTTCCACCATCATGATTTTTTTTCTAAAAACTAAACCATTTTGTCAAAAAAAAATTAATTTTAATAAAATGTTAACAAAACTTTTGATTAAAATTCAGAGCAAACTAAAGATTACTTTACTAATGAATAAAGTTCAGATGAATTAATGCTTCTAAACACATACCCCTAAAATTAACTTTAAATGAAAAAATTTGAGGTTTTCGCAAGAATTGTAATAGTTAAAAAAAATAAAACTTCAAAACTGTGTCTGCTTTTAAAATATTGTGAATCTAAGACTTAATTCAATTTAAAGCGAGTTTTGTTAAATAATTTACAGATAAATTAAAACGTATGAAGCAGTTTTAGTTTGTTTTAATTTCAAATCTTTTGATACTTTTTTTGGAAGTGACAAAAAATAATATTTTGTTTGCGCAACTTGACTTCAATTCACTTGACGGTAATTCCAGTAAATCTTATGTTCGTCCATTATAGAAGCGACATACAAAGGAAACGAATTGTGCAGTTGTTGAACGAAAAAACTTTGCTGATGGAAAATAAATTTCAATATAAATTAAATATAGCCAGGATGTATTTTTTAATTATTAGTATGAAATTTTAGGGTTGTTTGTATATGTATTTTTTCCACGAAAAACCCAAGCAAATTGAAGAAATTTTCTACCAAGAAAGGTTGATTTTTACCCAATCGGTACCTCCTTAGCTACGCCACTGAACTACTAGAAATAGGTTTTAGCATTTAAAAATTATTCGCAGACATTCGGATTTTTTCGCTCGAACTACTGATTTTATGAAAATATCTTTCTTTATATCAACCATGATTTACATATTCAATCATCTCAAAATTTAAACATATTTTTGGCTAATTCATTTTTTAAAATCATAAATGATTCAAGAAATAAATGCATAAATTTATTATATTTTTGATTTATTATACTATATCTTTGATAATTTTAATTAAGCATGAATGTGGCTAGTGTCTTTTTATACAGATAATAACAGAAACTAACGTTGCAATCAAAATAATATAAGTAATGTGATTTATTTCCGTACATCATTTTCTTGTAACCTTGGAAATAAAAGGTTCAAAAATTAAAAAGAAAAGAAAATCATGCTTAATAAAAATATTTTTGCAGTATAATCTTTTAAAGTCCATTAATTAAAAATGCATTTTACTAATAAAAAGGAACATAATATGACTTTGTTTTTTTTCTGCATATCAGCAAGTTTTGCATTAAAATGAAAAAGTTTTATTTTTTATTAATTGTGAAAACAGAACCGATTTGATAAACTCACATTTTAGCTACCTAAAATCACTTGAATTACTTTTCTTCTGACTGACACACTCAACTACTTACCTAGGTATACAAATACAGCTTGAATTGGGATTTTTTTGACATAATATGTTTTCTAGTAGATTAATCTTAGAAGATGACAGTTTCTTTACTAAAGAACGAACAGCCTTTTCACTCCAAGCATTTTCAATAGACGGTTCAATTGAACCATTAGTCTTCCTGTATTGAATTAAGCGCTTAACACTCCCGTTGGAAAACATGTAGCACTTAGTAATTTAATGATTAGTAGAAAAAAAAAAAAATAAATTCACAGACGAGACAACTTCAAGACTATTAAGTTTTATATTGTGAAGTATGCTCTTCGAGCCTGGCAAAATCACCGAAATGTTATAAGGAAAAATTACAAAAGTCCACGTGTTAATGATCGAGTGACATCAGCGCATTTTTAACGCCGTGATCAGCATTTTTTACTTTCAGCAAAATGCGAGTGAATCAAGAAGTTTGCCATTAGCAAATTTAATATTCGTAAAAGTTTATTCAAAAAATTCAGTTGCAAACTAGATCTCAACGGGAACAGACGTGTTTACAAATCGCTCCGCAAATTATTCAAAAATCTCAAAAGAAACAAAAGAGAGGCTACCTGAGAAGCTTTTTGTTTGCAAAAAGTTTCAAAATCTCAGTTTGATTTTCAAAACATCAAAATGGTAGAATCACCAAAAACTACCAACAACGAAGAAAATCTTTCTCAAAATCAGCATGGACTTAATAGTTCTCAACAACAACATTCATCTTCAGTGACAATTCTCAATATTGAGGAAATTTTCAGTGAAAATGTTTCACAAGCAGCCGACGTTGAGATGACAAATCTCAAACCAAAAAAAAACAAATAACAATAAAGAAGTTTCTCAATGAAGCAAGCACTATGGGGCAAAATTAAAAAAAAGGGACTTTCACTTCGAAAAAGGCAATGTTTCGAATTACGTTCTAAAGTGGATTTTTTCTTGTAGAGCACATAAAAATATACTTCTATGCCAAATTTCAGGTCATTTGGTGCTATTTTTGCGAATCTGTGGCTGTTTGAAGTTGAAAAAGGGTGAAAAATCTGGTTTTTTCATGTCACGTTAGAACTGGTAAATCTCCGCAATGGTTAGAGGTATTAAAAAAAAGTTTTCAGTTTCAAAAGTGTTATATAAAAACTTTATTTTAATGTATTTCAAAGTTTACAAATTTGATGTTTTGGTACCGGTGTAGTTGAAAGTGTATAAAAATCCTAGGAAAAATATCTTTGTGCAGGCACAACTTTTTTTTGTCAACCGCTATACCAGTCAAAAACCATACCATTAAATAGCCACTGACTTCTAGTTTTCATAACTGTAGAAACATTAAAATAATGTTTGCACCGTTGTGAGAAAAGTTGATTTGAGTAAATCGACAAATATATTGCCAAAAACGAAAATTTCTTATAAATAAAACAAAACAATAACTACAAATAAGTTTTTTGGTATTTTTCAATGACAAACAATATTTAAAGACAACCTGTGAAGAAATTTTTTTCAAAAAGTTCAAAATTTGTCGTTATATGAGGTACTTTTGATATCTGACGACTTGTATGTTTTTTCCATAACTTAAACCACTAGTACTCTTAGAAAATTAAATATTTTTAAATTTCGTTTTCAGTTTGTTGTAGCTTAAATCAGTACCTTTCTAATGATGTATAATACTTGATAGTTGACTTTGATCTTGGTCATGAATATGAGGCTTGTTTGTGAGCGACCCTAAACTAGAAAAAATCTCAAAAACGTTTTTTCTAGAAATACCACTTGGAAACAAAATTAAGCATTGAGTTTCGGTTTTTTATGACGATTTATGATAATTATGACTAAAAACACTCAAAAAATTGTATTTTATAAACTTTTGGCTATCTCAGGTAGCTTGTTTAAGTACGATCCATCCTAGTAGTCTTTATTGGGTCAAAAATTCCCAAGTATTACACTATTTCTTGGATGCTTATCGGTTGATATTTCATATTTATACAGATTTTAAGCAAAATAAGTCAGTTTAAAATATTTTTGTTTGATAAATTTTGGTTTTTGGCTATTTTGTTGAAGTTTAGCTTGCGTCGGAGATTCTCAATGTTCGAAATGTCTGCAGTTTGGTCATGGACAAAACAGTTGTAACAAACCGTCCGTTTGCTTCAGATGCTCTGAGCAACATGACTCGAAAACGTGCCAGTACATATCGAATGAGACCAACAAGGTTCCACTCGGAAAACTCAAATGTTTCTTCTGCGGTGAAAAACATACAGCAATTTTCACAGGTTGTAAAACCAGACAAGAAATAATAAAAAAGTGGAAATCAAAATCACAGAATGGAAACAACCAAAATCAAAACAAAACAGCAGGCCATTATTCATATGGACAACTTGGACAACGGAGAAACAATCCTCCAATTCAGCATCTTCCAGAGCGATCAACCAGAAACGTCCAACATGCACCAAAACCTCAATGGAGAAAGAAGAATGTGGAACCATCTACATCTGGTACACAAAAGCCTGTTCATCAAAAACAAGCTCCAGTCAACCACAAACCAAGGAACACAAATCCTCCTCCAAATCACAAACCCTCAAATCAAGGAAATAAAAATACCTTGAACAACCAACAAAACAATAAAGAAAGAGGAAAACATTGGAAAAAGAATCAAAGAAAAAAGCAAAACGAGCGCATTAATAACAATCAACATCAAAAACCAAAACAAGATGTTGAGCTTATGGACTCAGAAGACATCAGTCCAACAAGTCAGACCTCGAATGAAGTTTTCCCAGAACCTTCATTCAGTGTTGAGGTAGTGAATCGAAACATAACAACTAATCAACAAGCTCAAAGCACCAGCACAAGAGATGAAAACATCTCAGAAATAGAGGAATCAAAGTGCAAGTACCTCATCAGCGAGCTTCTCAGATTAATCGCCAAAAATCCAGAGTTCATCGACGAAATACTCCAAGCAATTGGCTCAAACGCCAAAAACACCGCATACAATAATGGATTGTAGACAACAAAGTATCAACGTCCTCTACTGGAATGCTAACGGCCTCACTGACAAAATGTTAGCATTCCTCGACTACCTAAGCAAGCAAAACGTCGATGTTGCTTGCATCTCAGAAACATTCCTAAAATCAAACTCAAAAATTGACTCGCATCCAGACTACGTAATTCATCGATTGGATCGCGTGGATAGACCAAAGGGTGGTGTTGCAATCATCGTCAAAAGAAATCTAAAACATCAGCTTCAACCAAGCTACAACACAAAACTAATGGAATGCATTGGAATCAAAGTCTTCATCAATGACACGGATAATTGTCACATCCTCTCAGTCTATCTCCCAGGAGGAAGCAAAGGAGGGGAAATAGATCAACATCTGAGAGATGACATCAACAAAATAACAAATCTGAGAGGAAATTACTACATCTGTGGAAACTTCAATGCAAAACATCGAGAATGGAACTGCAACGTTGCAAATAAATCAGGAAATATTCTTCAGGAAATGTCAGGAGAGTTCATGATCTACTTTCCTGACTCGCCAACGTACTACCCAGAAGATCGAAACAAATCAGTGTCAACAATTGACCTGATGCTCTCGAATTCCAACCTCGAAACAACAGAACTTCAATGCACAGAGGCAATGAGTGATCACTGCGCTGTGTATTTCCAAATCAAAACATCAAAAATCGACAGAACTGAAAATACAGTCTACAGATATGACTACAAAAACGCAAACTGGAAAAAGTTCAAAGCACAAATTTCAGAGATGAGATCGAGAATCACATTAAGATTCTTTCTGAACTCATCATGGAAGCGAGGAACTCAAGTGTAAAAATGAAAAATCAACTTCGAATCAACTAAACTCACACCGGAGATTAAAGATCTAATCAATACAAAAAGGAGTTTTCGTCGAAGATGGCAGAGAAGCAGAGATAATCAACTCAAATCTGAATTGAACTGAAGAAAAACTGGAATAAGCGTCTCTCAGAGATTCTACCGTCAAACCAAACAGTTTGGAGAATAGCAAAATTTTGCAAAAAAGGTTTAAAAACAATGCCTCCATTGACAAATCTGGGTAAAACGTTCATCACCAATAAAGAAAAAGCCAGCGCACTCAGTGAGTATTTTCGTGAAGCTCACGAAAATCCTCTGGAACAAAACGATCCACAACATACACAGGAAGTAAACAACACAGTCAAAGAAGCATTGGAACAAGACAATAATGAGAATCCAGAACTAACAGATGTTAACGAAATCGTGAGCATCATAAGAAATCTGAAAAATCCAAAAGCTCCGGGACTAGATGAAGTCAACAACATACTCATCAAAAATCTTCCTGAAAAAGGTTTCGAATACTTGAAATTCATCATCAATTCGTGTCTGAAACTCAACCACTTCCCCAAAGTTTGGAAACACGCAAAAGTGATTCCTATACCAAAACCTGGAAAACCAGCAAAAGAGTTAAGCAGCTACAGGCCAATAAGTCTACTCAGCTCAATAAGCAAAATACTGGAGAGAGTAATACTGAACAGAATCAACGATCATCTTGAGGATAACAACATCATGCCAAGCCAGCAGTGCGCCTCCGGACTGGAAGATCAACATCTCACAAGCTCATCAAAGTGATCAAATCAGCAAAAGAAAACTTAAACAACAAAAAGTCAACAGGCATGATCTTCCTGGATGTAGAAAAAGTATTTGACAGAGTCTGGCATAACGGACTCTTGTACAAAATGCTCAAACTGAGATTTCCACTGCCACTTATAAAAACTGTAAGTTCTTTCCTCAGTGAAAGATCTTTCGCAGTTTTTATTAAAGGTCAGTTCTCAGAAATCAAGGTAATCAAATTCGGAGTGCCACAAAGAGCAGTGCTTTCACCAACTCTCTACAACATCTTCACGTATGATGTTGTAAGAGAGACAACCAACAACATCGGTCTTTTCGCAGATGATACAGCACTGTATCATTCTGCAGAGAACTCGGCCGATATTGTGACACATCTACACCACACAGGAAGAAAAGTTCAACATGAACAAATGGAAGATCAACCTCAACAAACAGAAGACTCAAGCCTTATTCATCACAAACAGGCACTCCAGGCAACTACCAGGAAATAACATCAAATTTCTCAACGAAAACATCAAATGGGAAACAGAAGCTAAATATCTGGGAATGGTGATCGACAAGAGAGTGACATTAAAGCCGCATGTGGAGTATGTGACCAATAGGGCTCACACCGCATTAAGACAG